ATACAGAATATTTTCACTCTTCTTATTGAGCATTTTCAGAGTAAAGAGAAAAGGCTTCATGAAAGTAAGAAGTGTAAATCCTTGTAAAATCCTAGAGTGTAAATCCTTGTAAAAATGACAACTGAGATTGACTAAAGCAAAATCCAATGAATGTATTATTTTTAAAAGTTTTTTTTTTTTTTTTAAAGAGAGAGGGGGAAGGGAGGGAGAATGAGAGAGAGAGAAACATCCATGTGTGAAAGAAACATCAGTTGCTTGCCTCTCACATGACCCCAATAGGGAACCTGGGCCACAACCCAGGAGTGTGTCCTGACCACTCAGAGGGAACTGTATTTTTGAAACCAGAAAAGCCAGCATTCATGTTGCCTGTCACCTGTGAGACCCAATAAGCAGAGACAGGGATTGAATCTTTATGGGCGCTTTATTCAGATGGCCAGCAGTCTGAGAAGATGGTGGGTTTGAACCCTAACACATGGTCTTAAATTCCATTTTTAAACTGACCTTTTTTATAAGGAGAAGAAAAGTGTAGGTAAAGGGTTTGGAATTCAACGGAAAAAAGTGTAGGTAAGGGGTTTGGAATTCAGGAAAGAGGTTAATCAGATAAAAGATGCTGTCTGGAAATTTCTGTGGCATTCTTTCATCTGCGGACCAGTCATTTTCTTTATTTGTGTCCTTGGAGGCAGACTGTCTCTCGCTGGAACACAATGGCTCAGATACCACCTTGATTGCGTATGGTCCCTTCTGGAGCACAAAGGTCAATCTCTTGTACCCTGGAGTCAGGGTTGGCTGTACCTGCAGTTCCTGAAACAAGAGCTTTTCACATGCATTGACTACTAGGCTTATTAACTATTACTTTCAACTATAATTTTCCAGCTCTTCAGTCCCCCATCATCCCCCCACTGTTAGTTTAAACTATCTTATTTCTGTAAGATCAGTTTCATATGGAAGTACTCATTTTGCTGTTGAGCATGTATCTTAGACCATTTGGTAGGGGGGAGCTTAGGAATACATTTAATTATGTATTTAATTAAATACATAAGGGAGCACATTGTATGCAACAATAAGCTATGATAAAGTACAAAACAGTTTTAGCATAGTTGAAAAATATTGTACACTCTCTAGCTTCGGCTACATTAGTGACTTTTAAGGAAAACATTTCTCTGTCCTTTAGAGTTACCAAATGTCCCCAAATATAAATATCAGCAAAAGCTTTCCAGGGGAGTACAAACACCCATAAGACACGTAGTGCAAGTTTGTTCAACATAAATTCCCCCTGCAAGACAAAGTTCAGAGATGTTTAGAACATTTTGCTAAATATACCCAAATATATTCATTTCATTTGAAAGGAACAAGTTCTCCATAACGTGGAGTTAAACAAAAAGTAATGAAAAGAATATGTCATTGTTTTCGAAAGATGACATTCAGGTCTTCTTGAGATTTGGTGGTCCATTGTTCCTCTGGTGCTTTCTTTACTCTGGTGTGATGAATCGAAGGTTTATTTCTGCCAGCTTCACCATGGTGGGGGTGAAGAGCACACTCGAAGGTCCGTTCCACTTTTTTTCTGGTTGGCTTTCTGGAGATCCTGTCTTCCAAATCTTGAGTAGCACCTTATCTCCAGGCTCAAAGGAATGTAGCCAAACCTGTCAGGGGAGAGGTCTGTCATACAAGCAAGGTCATTAGTTATAGCTAAGACCTGACGTAAATGTTGTACATACTTCTTAACCTTCACTTCTTGATCTACATACCTATCTCCCATCCCAGTCATAGCCTGAAATGGTCGCCTGACATGGTTGCCCGTACACAAGTTCATAAGGGCTCAATTGAATCTCACTCGGAAGAGCCACCCTTATCCTGAGCAGGACAGTTGGCAAAGCTATATCCCAATGGAGATGAGCTTCTTGACACAACTTGGCTATATTTTTCTTCAAGGTGTGATTCATCTTCTCTACCTTCCCAGGAGTCTGAGGTCTTCATGTCATGTGCAGTCTCTACTAGATTCCTAACAATTTACTAACCTGTGTGATTTCTGAAAAAAAGGCAGCTACATTCTGGCTCTGGATGCTGCTAGGTAGGCCACAGTGAGGAATTATTTCCCTCAGTAGGGCTTTCATTACTTTTAGGATTTCTCAGTTCTGGTAGGGTAGGCACCTACCCATCCTGAAAAGGTGTCAACAAAGACTAGCAAATTTTTCCACCCTTGGACCCTTGACATCTGGATAAAGTTTATTTGCCAGTCCTCAAATGGGCTGTTTTTGGTATTGTTTTCCATCTTTGTTTTGATGGGAATCTGTCTTGGGGTTGTTCTTCTGGCACACATGTAGCAATTACTTTTTGTATGACTTTAGAAGTTCCAGAACCTGTGAGCCACAGTTTATATATGTGGTTAATGAGTCCCTTACATAGTGAGTGACTTCATGCAAATGCTTCATGACTGGCTCTACTAAATGTTCAGGAAGCAATATAATTCTTTTCTTATTCTTTCTCCCTCTGCTCTTAGCACCTTCTTCATCAAAACCCCAGCTCTCAGCTTTCTCTAAGTCTACAGTCAAATATTTAGGGTGAAATTGTGACAAGTCTAGAACAGGCACCAAAGGCATTATAAATGTTCCTTTAGCAGCCTCTTTGGCTGCTTCATCAGCCAGATTGTTTCCTCTAAGCCACTTCAGTGTCCTCTTTCTGGTGGCCAGGGCAGTGCGTAACTGCCACCTGTAAAGGTACCTGAACAGCCTCTAATAATTAAAAAATTTCTGCTGCATGCTTAATCTCCTTTTCATTGGAGGTTAACAGTTCTTTTTTCTTCCAGAGGGAACCTTGTGATTGCAAAATTAGGAAAGCTTTCCTTGAGGATACACACACTTCACTCTCTTTTTGTGCAACAATTCCAGTGCCCTCGTCAATGCAGTCAGTTCAGCTTTCTGAGCAAAGGTTCCCAGCAGCAAGGCCTTGACCTCTACTATTCCTTCAACAGTCACCATTGCATATCTAGCCTTTCTGTTTTCTTTGTCCATATAACTGCTTCCATCTGCATATAGAATCAAGTCTGCCTCTTCTAGAGGACAGTTCTGTAAGTCAATTCTGCTAGAATAAACTTCATCAATTATCTCAGCACAGTATTAGTGCAGCTGAGTCAGGCTTTGGGAGAAGAGAGGTAGGATTTAACTTAGTTTTGAGAGAGACATTGGGATCACGAAGAAGAATGGCTTGGCACCTGCCCATTCTTCCAGCAGTGAGCCACAAATTTCCCTTTTGCTCCAGCAGGCTCAGCACTTGGTGGAGTGCATAAATGGTGGCTGTCTCAAGGAAAATTTTCAGCTTTCTGTAAGAGCTCTCAGGTGGTTGTCACAGCTGTCAAGCAGGCTGGCTACCCCTGGACAGTGTGATCTAGTTTCCTTGACAAGTAAGCAATGGCTTGTGAAATGTCACTAAGCATTTGGGTGAGGACTCCTAGGGCAATGCCCTGCCTTTCATGAATGTATAACTGAGAGGGCTTTAGTAGGTGTGGAAGCTCCAGGGCTGGTATAGGAGCCAGATGTGCCTTCAGGGACTCAAAAGCCTAAGTGCACTCCTTCATCCATTCTAAAGGGATATATTCTGGCCCTTTCAGAGTTTTTCCAATTTAATAGATCTGATGTAGAAAATGGAGGATGTGCCCAATAATATCCAGTGAGCTGGCCCTCTGGCCTTGCTCCCACTGGAAGTTTCTGCAGAGGGTATAGCCCTGCCCTGGTAGGGGCTTGTCCTCCTCTGAATTTGGTTCCCTGATGGGTTCCAGATGGTGAGACCAGCTCAGGCTCACTTCCCCCAGTTCCCTCTGCTGTGTAAGGAGGAAGATCCCCCAGGGCTAGAGGGGTGGTGGGAGCCCTGACCGTGCTCACAGCAGCCATAGTATCTAGATCTTCCTGGGCCCTCTCCTTTGAGCATCTGCTATCTTTCACAAGCAAATTCCCTCTTCTCTGGACCATTAATCTATTTTCTTTTAATCCTGCATCCTGATTATGTGAACTAATGAAAGTTTCTAGGTAAGGCATTTTGTCCCACTTCCCTGATCTTTGACAAAACAACTTGTTACAGTATAATACAGTAATTGAAAGACCCATCCAGTGGCTCTCCTGAGTCTAGATTATACTATACATAAACCAAGCAGTGTTAAAATAAAAGCAACTTTCTTTTTAGTCATAGGTTTATAAGCACAGGTTGACCAATCAACTAAAACTCTTCCCCCAAGTGCTATTTCCCAGAAAGGAGTCTTTCCCCCCAACTTCTACCAGACAGATCTCTGTAATGTCACAATAACCAGAAGGTACCTTTTTACCAGACAGGGCTCTGTAAACCAGAAGGCACTTTAATTATTGATGACCTAAGTCGTGACCTGGGATTGCAACTTCTACCATAAAGCACAATGATTAAATCAAATGTGAAGACGACAGGAGGTACTGAGAGCTAGAGGAGGAGAGTCCCTAAATGAAGTCACTTGGCAGCTGCCAGAGAGTCTCCAAGTCCACATCCTGGGCCCGCCCCAGTCCAGGCAGCTGGTGGGACTCCCTGCCAAATACCCAGACTTAGTAGAAAGTCCCAAAGTAAGGGGAGAACTGGATCTTGCTATGTAAAAATGGATGTCGGATGCTTCATCTTGGAGTGCTGGAAGGGAAAGCCAGAGTTAATGGATATTGGGCTATAAGGATAGGTGAGAAGGGGTCTACTGTAGACTCACCTGCTTTGAAATTAAGTCTGAAGATTTTTTACTTAAAGAATATTATGCATACTAAGCTGTAATATCTGTTTCTATTGGATTTTGGTCAGATACAGTCTCTGTGTCATAAAAGTATGCAATTATTGTGGTGCTCTGGAAAGAATATATATCCTTTCATGTTCCAAACAATACAAAGAAAATACATTATTATGTAAAAACTTTATAATGATTTTTACTTTTAAGAAACTTCCCTACATATACTTTATTTTATCACTTAAAAATGAATAATTCTGTTATGTTTTGTTTACAGGTCATGCCTTGACTGCATTGGTAAAAATGCTATAATTTTAGAAAATCAAATATCTTTATTACCTCCTAAACTTCTGCAACAAGTACTCAAAAAAATCACATTTTGGACTGCAGCAAAGCACCGGGACGAACAAAGAGCCCAAAAAGAAGAAACAGAAAATAAGTATCAGCGGATCAGTAGGAATTAAGTTGTTACATACTCTCTATATTTAGTGTGTTTAAACATTTAAATCAGACCGTATATTTACACCCCAAATTGGAGGCTTTCTTTAGAAGATAAAGTTTGAAGCAAAAATGCTAAGTTAAAGTGATTACATGGCGTGGGATATATGGGAATGAGGTGTTAATGGGAGATTAATTTATATTTCTAAAATAATTTCCTGATAAGCTACAGGAAATAATACTTTCTGAAAGTAAGTACAATTATAGGAGATTTTAACTCACTGTGTACTCATTACGGGAAAGATTATACAAATTTGAGAAGAATAAGAAATTATCCAAGGACTTTAGAAATCATAATGATATATAAATGAATGATGATAATACATAAAAACACTACATGTCAACTTTTAGAAAGAACAGAATTCCTCAAGTCACTTTAAAATAACATAAATCTTCTCATTAAATAGCTCAGTTATTAAAATAACATCTTAAATAACTAATACAGCTGGCCAAAAGTATAAAAGAGGCAAAGACTGGTACAATATTAACGTTGAATGCCTACCCTTTTAACACTCATTTAGGAAAGTAGTCCTACACACACATCATTGCAATTTTCCCTTTTTCTTTTTGTAAGTTTTCTTCAACCTTTAGTTGAGTAGGGAAATAAATGTAATCAATTGCTTTCTATTACCACTAATTTATTAGTTTGTGTATATCTATATTTATATATATAGACACATACACGCATACACCCATGCTTTAAAGTTTCTAAAATGGAGGTTTATCTGTCATACAGTCTTTGAATTATTGAGAAGCAGTATATTTATTAACTTTTGAGACATGTTAAAATACATTTTGCCTTGAAAGAATGCTTCTAAAGTAATTTTCATAAACAGTGAAATGGAATGGCAATATAGTAATTTGCCTTTATTGAAACCCCTCAATTTGGCCCACCCCATTCTATAAAGTTGATGCTTAAGGATATTGAAAATATGTTATCTTCCCATTTATTTTCAGTATTAACTGCCTCTACAGAAGAAAAACACTGTATTGTTATATTCTTTTAAAAAGTACTTTTGCCATAATTAAGAAATTGCTCATATTATCAGTCATATCCTTCCACTGAATAGCAATGTATTACTAAAAGGCTTTAGTATGTAAAGTTACTCTCCACAATACCACCATGCAAATTATCTCTGAAATTTAAAATGTGAGAGCAAATATTGAAATATATGTGTAATTTATAATGAAAATTATAGTAGCTTGTAGTATCTCATTACATTTTAGAGATATATTTTATATATGTATTGTATTTTGGATGTGTAAAGCTTCTATTTATGTATTGAAATATTTTGTTTACATTTTATTTATTATATAAATTATGTAGATTTACTATTTTCTCAGTTTTGTTAGTGTGAATCAGTCATTAGAGTTGATTGAAATACAAACAGTATTTCAGTGTAAATTTTCATTTTTTCTTACTACTTTTAGGCTGAATAACAGATTTAGAAAGTGAATCTCACAGGTAATATACATCTTATAAGTAATTTTTTATTACAATGAGCTTTGGTATCAGCATTTCATATTTGAGGGGAAAATATCAAAACCTAGTAGATAGTGATAGGTGACACTGAGTGGAATGAACACTTTTTAAAATGGTTTCTGGATTATGTGAATGCCTTTTCTAGCTTCTTAGAAAAGCACTACTGTTTTTAAATGGTTTACTTAGAACATTAAAAGTTGGATTAGCCCCTCAAATACACACCAACATTTTAGCTTCAAGAGAATGAAAATCTATATATTGTATTATCTATGGTACATGTAACTGGCCCTATACTTATTTGACCTAATATACTGTGCTCCTCCAAAAACTATGTCTTGAGGTAGCCCCATAGTGGGAGTGGCAGGGAATTCTGATTTTCACTTTCAATTTCTATAACTTGGCTTAAACAAAGGCTCTCCTGCTATTAGGAGATAGAGAAATTCTGGGAGCCGGCAATTCATTTGATGGCCAAGCAGTATTCATTCCTCACTTCTCACCAGCTGATGGCTTACGACCAGCCTCTGTGTTGTTGACCCCCCACAGTATATGGGAGGAGACTAAGGCAGTGACAGCCTCATAACATTAGCTCTGAATTTTCCCTTACAGCTCGTCTGTTTGAAAGATGATTCCAGGTTTTTTTCAGGTAGTTCACAAAATAGGTCTCCAGTCTGGTTCTTAAGGAAGAAGGAATTTCTGACCACCTCTGTTATGTCTTTCAGGATATTCTTCTGGTTGTCAGGAAGGATTATTATTATTTTTTTTGGTGTTATCATTTTTAGGATGATATACTAAAAATAGCACATCAAAATTAGTGTATATTTTTTCAGGTAGTGTTTTTGCGCAAACATCTTTTAAAAAGATTAGCCTCTTGATAGGAGCTTAAAATATTCTTTAGAACTTCATACTATCAGCACAGGCACAAAGTGATGTTTTCACCAGTGCATTATTTATATGTATGTATGTATGGGTGAGGAAAACTAATATAAATTCACTAAGACAGTAATCTTCAGGGTAGTACGTACTGTCTAGGTGGCGGGTGCACTAAATCAACTAGAAGAGCTGAGCGGGTGGAGGGCTGGGCGCCCGATCGGCGGGCATGGAGGGGCAGGCGCTCTCTGCAAGTCCCTAGGAAACCGAGGCACGTGAGACCAGAAACACACCAGCTGGGCCATTTCAACAGCGCTTTGGCTACAGTCCCTTGTATCCTGGCAGTGCCTGCAGGGCTCGGAGGCTCGGCCGTGTGCGGACCTCGCCTTCACAGATTCAGAGCCCGGGCCTGGGCGGAGCAGCACTGCAGCAGCGGGAGGACCCGGCGCTGGGGGCGCTGAGTGCAAGCCGCGCTTCCGGAGCCCCGCAGACCGCGTAGGCAGAGCGGGTGGTTCCGGAGGCGGCATAAACAAGAGCAGTCGGTGGTGTGACGGGAGCCGGGGGCGGGGCGGACAGGCTACAAGCTAGTACCTGCCCTCGGTGGACCCCTGGCCTGCCCCGGCCCTCGCTGTCCAGCCCACAACCTGGACAGCACCGCCCTGCATCCGAAGGGCCGTCCTCCGAGGGGCTGGGCCGGTGCACGCGCCGGCGGCGAGGGAGTGGCCTCCACCAAGTCTTTTTAGCCACCGTTCGTTTCTTTCTCCCTGTTCCTTTGTCTCGTCTCCTCTCTCGGACGGCTGTGGGGATTGTTGGTGGACAAAAGTGCCGCCTCAAGATGGCTGATGGGAATGAGGATCTGCGGGCGGACGACTTGCCAGGGCCGGCCTACGACAGCTATGAGTCCATGGAGCTCACCTGCCCCGCCGAGCGCAGCGGCCACGTAGCCGTCAGCGACGGGCGCCACATGTTCGTCTGGGGTGGCTACAAGGTCAGTGAGTAGCCCGGCCATGGCGGGCGTTGCTTGGTGTCACCTGGGTCCTGGTGGCGGGCCGGGTGGGCAAGCCAGACTGGCCGTCTCCCGCGCCCCCCACGTCCAGACCCTGCGCATCATTGTTCTTTTTGTGCGTGGGAATCTTCTCACGAGTCCCCGACCCGTCCGAGACCCCTCTCTGGGCTGTTGCAGTGCCCCCACCCTGCCCTCACAGCGCGCTCTGCCCCACCTCAACCCTCCCCGCCCCCCCAGCCCAGCCGAGCCGAGCCCAGCACTGTTGCTCCAGGCGCTCTGAGTACTCCGTGACCTCGGAGCGGTATTTCGCGGTTGGGCGGCGCCTGAGGGCTAGCCTGTTTTTATTTAAAAAGTTGGGGGTGTGCGTAAACAGGTGACGGTGTGTGATGTCAACCTGTGGAGCCGAGGCCACTTGGCCCACCGGTGCCGTTGGCCGCATTCAACCCTCCGCCAATTCCGGAGTACAGCTACACCTTGTGTAGACTGTGTCCGAATACTTTAACGTTGTTTTCCTTTTGGTTTCAGCTGAGAAAGGGCTTAAAATTTTCAGAAGACATCCGTATTGAGAAAGTTAATGGAAAAGTTCCAGTAGTATCCAAAAACATCAACAGCTCCTTGACCCCTAATGATAATGTAATTAGTTACTAGTTCAGAGCCACTTGCATTTCTTCTAGACCTGTGCACAGGGACTCTACCCTAAATGTCTGCTATTTATCCCTTGCCTACTGGTTCTCCAGCTCTCTTGCTTTTTAGAACTTCCCAGTAACACTCCACATTCTAGAATCATCCCATTTCATTTGTTCAGTTGACTCTAATCTGTTCCTACCAAAAATATTCTTTATAGTCCCTTTTCCTCTTAAAAATAATCTCCTCCCTCCAAGTATTTGCTTGAAATCTAGGGTCCACTACACCTGTGCCTTTGATGATTTGCTTTGTGACTCTGGCAGTAAGTTTCAGCTCACGGTACAGTTGACCTGACCATAGCTGAACACTTTTGAGATGACTCTCAGAAGATAGATGGGACAAAGTGCCATAGCTGTCCTGATTACTTCATGTAGTTTAACCACAAAAGTTTTTTTGTGTGTGTGTTTTTTGCTAGTCCGAATTTGTTTTCCTCAGTCTCCAATGAATAAGTATTTAGTGGGCACTTGTTAAGAGGAAGAGGGTAGGTATGTGGTGATCCTTAATGAAATGTAAATAGTCCCTAAGGAGAAAAATTAACCTGTTTGTCAATCGTACTTAAGTCTGAACTACAATATTCAAAATTCTGTTTGTGTAAGTCAGCAGCACTCAGGAAATGGGACTTTTCTTTGGGCTTGGAGAAAGGGAAGGTAGTCAGGGTGGAAGATTTCTCATGGTGTTTTTGAAGGCCTGGATGCCGAGTGGTTGGTTCAAAGACAGGCTGTCTCCATTTTGTTTAGAACCCTGAGAGTAGGCAGCCCTTGGAGATTGTTTTGAAGGCAATGAACCTTAACCTTCCTACACAGTGGTCACTTTTCCTCCCTAGGCCAGGATGATCTTCTTGGGTTCAGCCTGCTATCTTCTAGCCTTTCCCTTCAAAAGTGGAGTAAAAGCAAAATGTTTTCTTGGCCAGGTGCTCTATTGCTGTATGATATCCAAGCTTATTAGACTGTGACACCCATTCTCAGGAAACTGCAATAGTATACTGTATGCTGACATTGTTCAGAGAGTTGCCAGTGAGGTTCAAAGGTTGGAGAGGCTGAGCAGCAGTGGAAGCTACAAATTCAGGGAAAGGAGGCTGAAATCCTGGTTCTACCATTACTTGCTAAGTAACCTGGCAAATTGCTAACCTCTCTCAAAAACCTGTTTTCCTGAGATACCAACTACTTTTAAGGATCTTTGTGATAGTTAAAGCAGTCCATGGGTAGCTGTAGGCTAGTTCTAGTATATGGTACACTTAGTCTAATAATTATCACCTGAAGGGAAGTGGAGCAGAACAAAGAACTTAAAAGTTTGCAAAAGGACTTACATATTTGCAGTGCTACCCTCTCTGCATCTTGGTGGAGAATGAATGGGTCAAAATTAAGAATGGCTAGAAAAAAACGATACGTCACGTGGCAGTGTGGGTAAGGAATTAAAGGGTAGACTTTTCTTTAGTCTGCTCACCATGGCACAGGTTCTTCTCTCTCTTGAAGTCATGCAACTGACATTTGGTGCATGGTCTGTTCAGGACCAAGTGGGCTTGGAGATTTCCCAGTGATCTCTTAACTTCCTGCACCATTGCAACTGCTCTATCAAAAATTTGAAATAAGAGCTGTCTATAGTAAGCATTACTTTGAGTTTGTAGCATGGGGTGGGGATGAATGTGCATTTATTTGCTGGACTTAGCAGACCAATTTAATTTTACATCTCAGTATCTCAGATAAGATAGATATAAAAAAATACAGTAGTGCCTCTTCAGAATACCAATTATTTTTTATATCTACAATTTTCTTTTTGGTTCTTAGAGTAACCAAATCAGAGGATTATACGACTTTTATCTGCCTAGAGAAGAACTTTGGATCTACAACATGGAGACTGGAAGATGGTAACTTGACTTAAAAGGGGAAAGCATTCAATGTTGCAAACAACAAGAAAACAATGTTGTGCTAGTGTGACCTAGCATCTCTTCAGAAGTATCACATATATATTTTTTAAGATGTTGCATCTTTTGTTACATGGTATCTTAAATGAGAAAAGTTTTAGATTGTATCTACTAGAAGTAAAGGTGTTCTATTTTGATGAGCTCTAACATTAAATTTTCTATGGAAATCTCTTTGAAATAATGTTTTGTTTAAAAAACAAAACTAACTTAAATTTACCTTCTATTCAAACTGGGGCTATTCTCAAAGAATCTTTCGCTAGTCTCTTAACAGTGGTACTCAGGATGTCTGTCGTTGGCAGAATCAATGTGATTCTCAGAAGGCTAGGTCAGCCATGTTTGAGGATTTATAAAGTAGTCTTCCCCTGTGGTTTGCATTGTGAGGACTTTGTGCTGTACAAATACTACACATACTCTAGATCTAAGAACGGGAATAGTAGCCCCCCATTTGATTTCAGCTAAACTAAAACTAGGATTATTTCTGTACATAGCTAATCCGTGTTTTCTGGGCTGTTCACACATCTTTTTTTTCTAGAGAATTAGAAATGTGTAATAGTATTTCTTTAATACGGAATGCTACATTTTTAAAAAAAATCAGCCCTATAATTTAAAAAAAAGCCTACTAAAACTTAAAACCTTAGTATATTGTGATATTGTGATATTCGAGTGACTATTAATATTCTGAATGTTTCCTAATTAGTTTTTATTCAGCTTCAAATTCAGAATGTGTTAAAATATGCAAAGCAGGCAGAGGAGTTCCTGGCCTATGGTAAGTACTACCTAAGTGTCTAGTAGCACAAAGTCTGGGTCTGAATCAGATTCATCTGAATGGCTAATGGTGACTGAACACCATTGAATTTATCTGTCAGGACTGGGGCAGGGTTTTCCTGGCTCACTCAAAAACAAAACTTTTGGACATGTAAAGAAAAGCAATTAAGTTTGAAAAACAAAGTGTTGTGCTCCCAGAATAATGTGTCCTGGAGGCTTTTCCGTGTGCTCATTCTGCCTTTCTGCCTCCGTGCAGGACCAACTGGCGCAGCCTGTCGAACGAGGAGGGAAGAGCTCCTTCGTTGAATGAATTTTAGAGCCATATGAGACCCTAGTCATGATTGAGTCAGCCTGTTCATTTTTTTCCCCTTTATTGTGGGAATAGAAGAAAAATAAAAGTAGTTTTACGTTGCCTTTTGGGAGGCTTATTTACATTGCTTTTCCTCCCTCAGGAAAAAAATCAACACTGAAGGTGACGTTCCTCCTTCGATGTCGGGAAGCTGCGCTGTGTGCGTCGACAGGGTGCTGTACTTGTTTGGAGGACACCACTCAAGAGGCAATACGAATAAGGTTAGTGTTTCTCACTACCTTACCTCACTAGGATTACAGTTCAAGGCAGTTTTATTCTTTTTCAGACAATTTTAGACTTCTAAGGTTAGCCCATAGTTATTCCTGTCCCAGTTAAAAAATGTACTTGATTATGGTATGCATGTGCATTTTAGAGTTTTATTTGCCAGTCTGTATTTACATAGGCATTTTATAAAATCACCTTTGGTCAGTAACCTGTGTGCAGTAACTTCCTAGGTGGTTTTTGTGTTCTTTGCAGCTACTTGCTCTTTTAGAAACCTGGAGTGTTAGAGGAATGACGGTAAATTAGATGAAAGTGAGGTAATCGTGGGGGGGCAGGGTAAAAATTAACAGGCCACCATGCAGAAAGCCATTAAGAATAAAGTAACACTGAAAACATTTTATATACTAATATTCCTATGATCTGGCATCATGAGATACTGTCATTCAGACTGTATTCATGTTTTTTCCAAAATAGGAAAAATGTATCAGTTGTTCTCTCAGGCCAGTAAGAGAGAGATGAAGTCAGAAAGGTGCATATGATATAGATGAACTCTTATAAATTCATTTATTTGGCAACTTAATGGGCACCTTATTTGCTGAGCACTTGGTAGACGCTGGAGACACAGAGACCAATGATACGCAGCCTGCACCTCCTGGAGCTCACATTCTACGTGGACACGTATAAGTAAATGATTTCAGTAGCACATGGCAGAGATACACAGAGCCTGGCTGATAGTAATAGCTCAGTAAATATTTCTGAATCTGAAAAAGAGTCCTTGACATTGAGTTTGATCAGATGGAGGAACAGAAAGGGTTTTATCCAAGAGGTGATGCTTGAAATGAAGAATGCAATTCAAAGTCACAGCCAAGATACAGGTATCAAGATGCAGAGGTGTCCATAAGCAAGTGTGTTTATGGAAATGCCAAGTGGTCCATATGGCTGAGATGGTTTAGACTGAGCTCCTAGGGACTCCAAGACCCCTGTGGGAGGGGCATAATGGTGTTAGTGGCTCCAGACTGCCCCTTCCACCACCATTTTCGCCAAGTATGGCTCCATTTTTGCTTTTGTTAGGCTTTTACGTAAAGATTTTGTGTAAAGGAAAGGTTCTGTGCCTAGAAGATTTTGTGAGGCACTGCAATAGGCTGTAGTTGATTGAGCTACATTACCAATATGTCAGGGCTGAGAAGGAGAAAAATAATTTTGACACAATGTGAGGAAGCTTGGGAAAGAAGCTGCAGCTTTCAGGGCAGTCAGAGAAATGGCAGTCATTAGTATGTCAGGTGGCTGGGGTTAAGCATGTAAAGTATGATCACGAAGAAGCTTAGGAGCAGTTAGATTTATTCAAGCACCTAGATGTGAACCTTTAAAGATAGACTGATACCTAATATTTTATGATTTGTCCTAGGCCCCTAGTGTTAAGTAGGCACTTAAGACATGTTTGTTAGATTGATTCTGGAGGTGAAATTGCTGACTCTGATTTTTTTGGTAATACTATCCTGATACCCACAAATTAGATCAGTACAACTCTAAGTACCTATCTAAGGCCACAGACTATAAGCCAGTACATTTCTATTCCTTCACAGAAGAAGTATGGCTATAGGGAAAAAAAATCAGCTGAACTAAACAGGATGCTTAGTGACTTAGGTAATTTATATTCTGGCACAAGTTCCTTATATAGACTCAGTAACAGTTTTGCAGATGGGCAGCCAGTCTGCAGTCACACTTTTTGAGTGGTACTGAATTAAATGACATTCTTATTATTACAAATTACAACAAAATTAAATGCCATGGTTGAATTTCCTTCACATAACAAAATCTAACTGAACTCATTGCTTCTGACAGTTCTACATGCTGGATTTAAGGTCTACAGACAGAGTATTACAGTGGGAAAGAATTGACTGCCAAGGAATGCCTCCGTCATCAAAGGACAAACTTGGTGTCTGGGTATATAAAAACAAGTGAGTTAGCACTACAGGTTTGGGTTCTTATGTGGAAAGTGGTTTGCCTTTCAAGTATCTTTAGCTAATAACTGATGTAACCATAGTGCATAGGAGGATTAGTGTATTAACACATCAAAGCACTTAACATAGCACCTGAGACGTATTAGCCATCACTATATGAGAATTTTCACATAATCATGTGCCTTTTCAACTCATAACATAGTGCATAGAAAAATTTCTTGTATGTTAACCTATGGATATTTGAATTTTTAGTGTCTCTTTTTTTTAAAATAAAATAGGTTAATCTTTTTCGGAGGGTATGGATATCTACCTGAAGATAAAGTATTGGGAACTTTTGAATTTGATGAAACATCTTTCTGGGTAAGTGAAGTTTCGTATTTGCATATGGCCTAACTTAGTATGTTGAAATAATATACTTTGTTTGTAGTGGTTTTGTGTCGTTAATAAATCAGACCAAGACTATATAACTTTGCAAATGTTATTTGTAAAGTAACTCAGGTTCTTATTCTTTTCTGTAGAATTCAAGTCATCCAAGAGGATGGAATGATCATGTACATATTTTAGACACTGAAACATTTACCTGGAGCCAGCCTATAACTACTGTGAGTTCCTGAGGAATAGTTGGATTAATAAAGTAAGACTACTTAGAGCAGGGAAGTTGGGAGGTGGTGTGAGACTTCTTGTTCATTCCTCCTGTTTTCTGGAAAAGAGCCAGACCTTTCATATTTTCCAAGGACTCCAGAACTCAGAAAAGTTTAAATGACTGTATAGACCAAACTAGCATCTATTATCTAATAGATATTGAGTGGTATTGTTTGTAATCAAATAAATGACCTAGTACTATATTGGAATTTAAGTTACCCAAGTAGGTTTCTTTCTCCTATGATACAGATGTTATAGAATGTGCATGCTTTTATTTTAAAAGATAAAAATAGAGTAAGCATTCTAATTACCCACTAGTCTATTCAGTAATACACCTCAAAAATATAAAATTAAAATTTCCAGTAGTGAGGGTCGCCAGTTCTATTCCCAGTCAGGGCACATGCCAGAGTTGCAGGCCAGGTCTCCTGTGGGGGCGTGCGAGAGGCAACCACACATTGATGTTTCTCCGTCTCTTTCCCACTCTCTAAAAATAAATATTTAAAAAAAAAATTTTGCAGTTGTGGTAGTCAGCCTTTTGTACTACTATTGACTACAGGTCTGCAGTTTAGCTTTAAAGCTCAAGTGTCTTGTATATTTTTATGTGGAAAGTGGTTTGCCAATCAAGTATCCTTACCTAGCCAATGACTGTTGCAACCATGTAACATATGAGGATCAAGTGAATTAATCCATCAAAGCACTTAACAGCACGTGAGACATATTAGCCATTATGAGTATTTTTGTACACTGAAGTGTGAAGACTCTGGTACTTATAAAAAGTTCATTTATTTATTAGATTGCTTATCTGACTTTAATAGGGTACAGCACCTTCACCTCGTGCAGCCCATGCCTGTGCCACTATTGGAAACAAAGGCTTTGTGTTTGGAGGCAGATATCGAGTGAGTATATAAACAGTTTCAGTGACTGACTTTGAATTATTCAAAATGGTAACTAAATTATCTTTTTTTAGGATGCTAGAATGAATGATCTTCACTATCTTAATCTGGATTCATGGGAGTGGAATGAATTGTAGGTATCACATTACATATTTAGGAAAGTTTTCCAAAAATTTTCCATGGCTTTTTTCCTTATTCTCTATTATTGATATGTAATGTATTTGCTTAAATTTTCTGTAACTGTGAGTTTAAATAAACATGATCATTAGATCCTTAATGGAGGAATTTTATTTTTTTAATTCCTGTTTCCATTAACTATGCCTGGCATGTAGTGTGTGTTCAGTGTCTGTTGAAAAATGGTCTAAAGTTGACAAAGAAAGTAGTTCATTCTAAAGCATGTAGTTAATACTAAAGAGCCTTTTAAAATTTAAAGTCTCTTTTTTCTTTAGTTCCATATAAATTTTAAAAGTTCAGTGTTTCTCTGCTTTTAGATGTTGATATTATAACATAGCTATTATTTTCAGAATTCCACAAGGCGTATGCCCAGTTGGCCGATCTTGGCACTCACTAACACCAGTTTCTTCAGATCATCTCTTTCTCTTTGGAGGATTTACCACTGATAAACAGCCACTAAGTAAGTTCTTATTTAGAAATATAAAAAATCACTGTATATCGTTCATATATAATATATACATAGTTTGAAAAAGGCTCTTCTATTAGAACATCAAGGCTGTAGTGTTGGTTGGAAGATTTGTTATTAATTTTTATCCTATAACATATTCCTGTACTTCTCATACTATGCCATATATCCACTCTGTAAAGATGTGACCTGGAAACACTACAAACCCTGCTGAAGGGCTGTAACATGCAAAGGGCTTACTTGGTTAATTGCAGAGAGAAAAACATACACTTTCTGTATCTACTCAAAATCTGATTTTATTACCTTTCTTTCTAAAGCTGTGCCCTTTAAATATCAATGTTACATACCGAGTAACATACTTCATAGTTCTTTTTTTCTGTTTCAACCAGGTGATGCCTGGATTTACTGCATCAGTAAAAATGAATGGATACAGTTTAATCATCCCTATACTGACAGACCAAGGTATGAACTATTTAAAAAGGTAATTCTTATACGAAATTAATGAAGTCCGCAGAGATGTACGAGACAGAATGAGGAAATTTTGGCTGCATTAAATCCATCGTTCTTCTAATAAATACCCTGGTATTCACTAAGGTTTAATATACTTTTTGAAAGAAGAAAAAAAAAATGTTATCCTAGTATCAAGCTTTCTTTTCCATTATCTCTGTGTGAAAAACAGGGCTGGATTTTGACTTTTTCTTTCTTTATCAACAAATTACTGATATAGTTAACATTTATAATCAAGCTCGTTACCCAAGTGAATTGAACTGCATCTAAATCTGTCATTAAAAAAAGAAAAAGGAACTGGAAAGGGGAGAATTTCGAAACCTTAAAGAATGTATATGGACAAAAATCAGATAAGTTTCAGTTAGATTTTCAGTAGCACTGCAAAACAAAGGCTAAGATGTCAAACCACCAAAAAAGAGACTGTTAAACACTGGGTTATTTGTTGTTGATCTCAAATAATTGTTAAAAAGACTGAACAGGAAATGATAGTCAAAATAGATGTTGAAAGCATCTTTAGATATGTTGGCCTCCATTTTTGCCTCATCCTCTAACCTCAGGCCACTGAGACTGTATTTGGCACAAATATTCTTTCCATTGAATTACCAGGCCTTCAGATACATTGTTTACTCAGGGAGATTCAGAATCTTTCACGTTTTGTGTAAGGCCAGTTGGCCCAGCCTGTGAAAAGAGGAAGGAGAGGCCATAGACCACTCATCTTCTTTTAGATTTTTATTGCTAACAAAGACTTAGAGAACAGTTTGTTTAGTTCAGACCACTCACTGCATATTAGGTCTGGACCAGAGACAAAACGCTAACATCCAGACAAAATAGACATTGATTTTTCTACCTTTGGCTACTTTTCCTTAAGAAAATCCCTTCTCACTTTGATGTTGGTCTGAACTAAAGAGCTCTCTCTAAGTATTTATTAAATCAGTTCTGTTCTGTGGTGCTTTGGGTGACTTGAAACTCAAGCTCTTGTTTTAAATGTAGGTTATGGCATACCGCTTGTGCCAGTGATGAAGGAGAGGTGATTATTTTTGGTGGGTGTGCCAATAACCTCCTTGTCCATCACAGAGCTGTAAGTATGCGACCTGTGGAGGAACACTGCTGAAACTTGTTTGTGAAGTACTTGTTTTTTTAATGTGTTCTTATTTATTTTTCAGGCACACAGTAATGAAGTCCTCATATTTTCAGTTCAGCCAAAATCTCTTGTAAGGCAAGTAACTTTTTCAGGGCACTAATAAGCCTTCATTAATATAACTACCCAGTTGTATTTTCCTATGAAAATCATTAAAGAAAATGGTTCCTTTTTTTTTTTTTTCATTTTAATAGTTCAAGTGAACATACTTCTAAACAGTAAAGTGAAATTATTTTTCTCTTTCCTTGCTCACTTTCAGGCTAAGCTTAGAAGCAGTCATTTGCTTTAAAGAAATGTTAGCCAACTCGTGGAACTGCCTTCCCAAACACTTACTTCACAGTGTTAATCAGAGGTTTGGTAGTAACAACACTTCTGGATCTTAAGGCTTCAGAGATAATGCCTCTGATCACCCTGCATGGACAGCAATTCTGTAAACATCAAAGAGTGGCATCATTTGTATAGTTACATGCATTGTTGTAGTTTTGCAGCCTTCTGATTTTAATGTGCATGTGAATGGCCTAGAGAACCTATTTTTGTGTCTAAATAAATGTATTTAACACCAGTAATTGTCTTCTATTAGAGCAAAGGGTAATACATACTTGGGTTTTACCCTAAGGATATGGTTTCTTTTTGGTAACATCAGGACATACATCTGTAGGAACATTATACTAATTATTCTTACCACTTAAAATGGTGAAGTTATGTTTTTCCTTTATAATTGAACTTTTGGGGTGACAATGGTTAACAAATTTATGCAGGTTTCAGGTGCACAATTCCACAGATCATCATCTGTACATTGCATTGTGTGTTCACCACCCCAAGTTGAATTTATTGTTTTAAAATAATTTTTAAATGGCAAGAATAGTCTATTATGTTGTATTTACAACACAAGACTATATAAAGTTTATTCAAACATTGATTTCAAGTGGGAAAATATTCTCAACAGGAAGACTGAGAAACTAGTAAAAAAGGGAAGGGCCAACAGCTGTTTAGTACTTTGACCTTGAATGCTTTGGTATAGGGTCTGGGAGAAGTGGTCACGTTGACTACAGGCAGCTGTGTCTGATCATTTAAAAAGTGACAGTTTTGTAGCTCATAGAAGAATGGAAATAAGGTATGACTTTATTCTCCATTCTGTTAGGAGACAGAAGCAAGCTGGGTCTGGAGCCTTTCATGGTAAAAGTGCATTTCTGACACTACAGGTTAAGGTACTTCATAACATGCTACTGATACCTACAAGCAGTGGAAAATTAAATGGTACAGAACTGAATGAGATTACAATAAAGAAATTAAGGTGAAAAGTGAGGGTATATAAATCCATGGAAATGATCACCACCAATTTCTCCTTAGGTATTATTCCTTAAGCTGAGTCATGGGAATTATCTGTATTTTAAATCTGGCCTAATATACTTTTTGACAAGTACAGATGGAAGAAAACTAACTCCTTCAATAATTAGGGTGTCCAAGACTTAATCCAAAATATTTAAACTGCCCCCAAATACCACCACCACCACCACCAGGAAGAAAAGAAAAACAACCCTTGGGATTGGCCTGTGAGTAACAGATATATTAGATATTATACACTGCAGACTACTAAGTGAATAGTTGAAGCAACTGAACCATTTCACGATTCAGTTATTTTACAACATGAAATGAATACTTAATATTAACTTCCCAAATTCCAAGAATATGCAGGAGAATAACTATAGATGTATACAATTAACATTTAATTGTCCCCAATTATTTTAGGAAATCTTAAAGACAGCATCTCCTCGCTACAAAACTGGAATAAAATAAGAATAAATCCTTTTGGTGAATATAGCAAGACAATATTTAGTTCATTTTTAAAAGCAGAAGTCATGTTACACGGTATCTTCAGTTTTGAATGTCCAGAAGGCTATAAAATTGGCTCTTCTCATATATTTTAGGATTTTATCTCAGCTACTTCCTTTTTACATTCAGAAGGTTGGGTGCAGACACTTTCACTTTCCCAGGAATGTTTCTTGATAAATCTGTGTCCTAAAAAAAAAAAGAACTGCTGAATATCTTCACATTCTATGTGGTCAATCATATTTCTTTCTATGACAATTATGTGTCCTCTATTATCAATAGAAAAGCATTTCTAAAATTTTTACCTGAAATGATTTTACTTATACTGCTAGGAAGGCAGCATTTTCTACCAAAAAAGCAGCTGCAGCTTGCATGTACCAAATAAACTAAGAACAAAAAATAGCAAGTAACTGCTGTTATTTTTAGTTGTACTACAAATCTTTAGAAAGTTCTGGAGAAATACTTTACCTTTACACTGCGGAATAAGTCTTTTTCTCTTGCCGTTGCTTCTTTGGAATGCATGAAACTATTCAAGGCTGTTTTTGCAGCTGTAAATATAAAATAGAAGAATCTACTACTTCTCTTCAGTCAAGAGATGTTTAAAATCATAATTTAAAAAAATATGTAAATACCTTTTCCTTTTTTCTGAACTCCAGGAGTAAGTTTCACTTTATATCTTTAAAAAGAAATTGCATGTGTTACTAAATAGAAAATACAAAACAATTCATAAATCACTACTCTGCCAGCTGTTTTGAGTAAACTAGTGATGACTTACTTATAGTTTGTCATGGTGGTGTAAGGGGCGCATATCGGAATGGCAAACAGTAGGACATCTTCAGGATGTGGCTGCCCTGTCAGAGAGTCAAACAGATTTTCCTAAAAAGGGAAACAAACAATAGTAATTTACACCAATTCTAAAAAGGAAAACTCTAAAACCTGTCAAATTAGTATTTCAACACTTTTATCCTTTTCTGATTGATAAGCAGTCTTAAGCTCTGCTTTACAGCTCAAAAGAGTTTTAGACAAATGGTGTTTTTTTGTCTAGTGTAATGAGAAATGAGAATAATGATTTTCAAAAAGGCACTTGTAACCCATGTAAGAGAAAGGAGAAAAAACTTGTTGGGTATTACTTCAGTTGCAGAAAATGCTTATTGATTAAAATGAAGCACAACAATGACTATAAATAGATTTAAATTCATTACATGTAAATGGGACTGATACTTTGGACCAGTGGATCTCAACTATGGGGTTTTGCGCCCAGAATACATTGGGCAACATTTGGAGACATATATGGTAACAGAACTGGAGGTGGGTGGGTGGGTGTATGGGGCACAGAGTGCTACCGACATCTAGTAGTAGGTAGAGACCATGGATGGGACAGCTACCCACACAACAAAGAATTATCCATCCCAAAATATTCACAGGGCTGAAGTTAAGAAATTCTGGGTTATAATAGCCTTCTCTCTTACCTTTACGTAAGGAGAACTAGGGCTTAGAGTTTCCCATTTGGTGGGCTGCCTACAAGGTTGCCCATATTTATTTAACATGAATAAATTTAGAGACAAAATGGTGCTAAAATGGTGTTAATAATGTGCCATGAACTCTTAAATACTTGACATATATTACCTTAGTTCTCAAAACAACTCTTTCCTAGTAGGGATAATTATTATCCTCATTCTTCAAATGAGGGAGCTGACACGAAGCAAAGCTGGGATTCAAACCCAGACTCCAGAGCTTTATCTTAGCCTTTTAGGTTTAATTAGTTAGGAGTTGTGTCACATGTGTTCTGGAAGCTGGAGTACAGTCAGAACGTTGCGGGAGGGGCCCAGACACAAAATCATACCTCATTTCCCTGATGATCCAGATCTTGCTCTTCCTGCTCCGAACAGAAAATTTTAAGAGTCAGCTATAACTTAAATTGAAATACCACATGATTAAAAACTATGAAAAAGAAACAGTGATTTAACAGGACTGTCATGTCTTACCCATAGGATAAGGACTCCAAAACTGTGTCTTGTATTTCAGAATGCAATGCCAGTCAGAGAGAAAAAGGATTGTTCTCTGAGGTTTAAAAGACTTTCCCATAGAGCAGTGATTTTCAACTGCTTCCTCTCTTTGTATACCAGCTAATTACTAAGATTCTATGGCACACCAAAAATATAATTTTTGCTGATCTTACAAAAAATAGGTATAATTTTGATTCATTCATACTGGATGGCTATTGTTATGTTGGCTGTTGCCATTTTTTTACTTGACAGTCTAAGGGAAAAAAGGTCAGTTCCCCTGACTAATTAGTATGGTGTTGCATGCTTTAAAAATTCTTGTGGCACACAGGTTGAAAATCACTACCATAGAGTATAGGCTAAAGCAGTGAATCTTATAAGGACAATTTAAAATGAAAAATAACTAAGCTTGATGTATTTGCCAGGGAAAAGGAAAATGGAGAATTCTGGTGAACAGACTTTTATATTTTGGTCCCTGTTGAGCACTTTTAAGATAAATTTTCACATATTAAGATAAGGTTAATGGTAATTTTGGTGGCTTGCTCACATTTAAAAACCCTATCTGGATATAACCTATCTGTGAAAGAACATTAAAAATTAACACATTTAATGAATACTTGTGAGTCTAGGGTTTATAGAATTATGAATATGAGATGACTGTAAAAATGTGAGAACTGAAGTGAGTTTTAATATTACTAAACAATACTGTTAAGCAGGGAAAAAAGAAAACAGCATAACATTTAGGCTCCCCATGAGCATTACCTGCACACAACAGAGCACACAATTATAACCAAAGCTTTCACAACCATAAGTGAAAATACAGTCTGAATCAAAAATTTTTACAAATTTAAAAAACAATTCCTTTGCTCAGAATTTCAAGGGTCATGATGAGGTATGTCCAGAGAAAGTCCAGCTATTCTTAATACAACAAGAACTATTTGCAGGGCATCCATGTAACCTGGCAGCCAAGGAGTGGACTGGAATGTGCATGCATGAACAATAACCACTTCACTGTACTTAGTGGGGGCAGTAGATGCCACTGAGTGAGCATGTGTACTGTGTGGCCACTGCATTAAAAATGACTAAGTACAGCAACAAATCTGCATTGGATTCTGTTAAGCTTGAACATACCTCTGCAAAACTATGGATGATTCAAAAGGCCACAGCTATGGGCAACTGGTGACTGGCAGCTTCATCACGACAATGCCCTTACATGAATTGTGTCTCGTGCAGTGTTTTTGGCAAAACATCAAATCGCCCCGGTGACTCAGCCCTCCTACAGCTCAGATCTGGCACCCTGTGACTCCTCGTTTTTCCCTAAACTAAAATCACCTTTGAAAGGGAAGAGATTTCAGACCATTCATGAGAGGAAAATATAACAGGGCAGCTGATGGGGACTGGGAGAACGGTATAAGGCCCAAAGGTGCCTACTTTGAAGGGGACTGAGGCTTCACTGTCCTGTGTACCATGTTTCTTGTATCTTCTTCAAAGATGTTTCTATTTTTCATACGAGGTCTGTCCAGAGAGTATCCAGCCATCTGCTATGTGGCCCAGTTCTCCCAGCATCATGAGCCACTGCAGCATGATATTCCTTCTGCTCTGGTAGCAGAAGCCGTGGAACAAATTTTGCCATGACATGTTTCATGCCAAGGTCCTATGTCAAAATCTCCAACACAGTAGTTTTTGGAATCTCCAGATCAGCTTCTAATTCTTGCATTGTCGGTCGCCTGTATTTGCTGATTGCAG